AGGATTCAGCTACAGACCAGCAGATACCTCCAGGTCACTTCTCTCAGTAGAAAACAGATCCCTCATGTGTTTTGTTCTGTTTTTATGTCCTGCTTTACTTTACTTTTGCCTTTTCAGCTGTGGTTGATGTTTCTTGTCTTCTGTCTTCCTTCTTGTCGTTAGATAGTATATTATTAGTTTGTTTTCCTATTTTTGTTGTTCGTTTGGTGATCTTAAATTGAGCTTACCTTTTGCTTTTGCTGTAATCTTGACATAAAAGCCTTCGCGTCTTTTCCCATCATGATGCAAAACAGTATTTTGGCTCAGCTTTCATTCAGACAAGAATTTGCTAACTGAGAACAATGTGGGGTTTAGGGTCACAGTCGATTTGACAGCAGGGCGTCTGCTGATCCTGCTGCTCTGTGTCGCCTCTTTACATTTGACTCTGACAGATTACAGGGAGCCTCCCTGCATGTGCCAAGGAATGCTCTGATGTGACAAATGACCCGGTGCTAAACGACGCTTTGTGTGTCTGCCCACATGTCAGCGAAGGCCTCATTTCATAAATAACACAGGGGACGGCAGGCCTGCTGAAAGAAAGGGACAGCAGTGAGAGACAGAGGCAAACATCCTTCTCCTAACTTCTTCCTGAAAGCAAAGAAATGCTAATTTGCTTCCCCTGTTGCCAAGTAAAAATTTTCATTTTGGATTTTATGCCATTTTAATCGCTTAATTGTTTTTGAAAAAATACTCAAAATTACACAGTGAACACTATTTCATTTTTTAAAATGACTATAGCATCTCTAATGCTGCACCACGGGATCGTTTTATGTGCAAATATATTTTTCTCAGCCCAAAAAACACAAAGGGAAGGAGCGAGAGAGCAAAGCGGCATACCCCCAACTGAGATTTGCCCCATTTGGCCATAAATATAATCTGTTTATAGATTATAGCCAGAGGAAATTATGAAACCAAACTAAAGTGAGATATCAGCAGGAAGTCTGATCACTAAGTAATTAATTATAACCAGATTTATTGAAATTGAAAACTGTTGCTTGTGCGGTTATACGACCCTTGATTTGTATGTTTGTTTTGCTCCTCATGCTTTGCCTCTCACCACAGCCTGTATCTCTGCAGCTCTGTCTTTGTAAGCCTTTTTTCCCACACATGGAGTCTAATCAGTAGTAGCAGAGCTTCTTTTGTTATTGTGGGCTCTGTGTTGATTGTGCCAACAGTGGTTCTTTCTTCAGCCAACTGTGCAGGAAGAGTGTAAGTTTCACACCTAACTTCTCTTTCTATTTCTCCATCACCCGTCCACCTACTCGCTCTGTTCCCCCTCTGTGGAGAGCCAACAAAAACACGTCCTCCAGGGTGTAAGTTGGCTCTCTGAGAGCAGAGTCTCTGACTTTCTGTGTTAGACCACTTGAAAAGACCTGTTAACAAAGCAGAGTCCTTTAGATACTAAGCCAAGTGAGTCTGAACCACTTCAGTGGAGCACAGATCGCCAAAAGTGTCACTGTTGACAGCTTAGTGGAGGAAGAAGAAAACAGAAGCGCGAGCCTTTGAGTTTTAGTAGTGTGTGAATGTTTTAACGGCGCCATTCAGGGTTGGGGGGCTTACAGGCATCTATTTATTTCACAGTGATGCACAGCTTCTTAGAGATGATTGGCTGATAAACAGCATTAAGAGTCTGTAGATGTTAAAAAGGCCATAAAGGAGTTAGTTCTCTAACCAGTATGGTAAAGGAAATAAACCAGATTTTATGTCATAAAGTGAAAGTACGAAAGGTGTGTGGTGTTCTTTAATTTTGGAGAAGTGAACTGGTGTCTGGTTAAACATTCTTCAGAAGCCAGCAGGGGGCGACTGCTCTGGTTGCAAAAAGAAGTCGGATTGTAGAAATCTCAAAAATGATGCAATTTTACACAATTTCTCACCTCGGCAAAGACTTTCTCTGTGAGTTTATGGTTTCAACTGGTCATTTGTAGTCTTAGTCTTACAGCATGGTGTTCCTTCTGTAGATTGCAGTCATCCATAAAGAGCCTATCGAGCTGGATATGTTTTACAGCGTGCAGTGTCTGGTTTGCTCGACATGTCCGTATTCTAAACACCATGACAGGGATGGCTAAAATATTGCACTTTAGGCTTCAAATCAGGGTACCACAAACCAGGGTGGCTATTTTTTACCTTTTATATACAGAATATGTTATACAGATCCGCACTTGTGCTTTGCTGTCCCGTGTATCAAACATTCATCATGAGCCAAAAAAGTGAAATTATTCCACTTTGAATGCAAGGAAACACACTGTTATTCTTTTATCTTTTTCATGTTGTCTAGTCAAACACAATCTGACACTAAAGTGAAAAAGTATGGATGATATGGTGGCTTTAGAGAAGTCATTCATGTTGAAATTTCACTATTTTTTAAAGACATCTTGGATCCGTATGTCACACCTCGGATTAAACTGAGCAAAAAAGGTTGTTTTAAGAGTTTAAATCTAGCATGATGGCTGGGCTTTAAGATTACGGATTTCTACTGGATAACTGAATATCATCCCTTTTTAGCTGTATTTCTCAGAAAATCCTAGTGTAGCTCCTTTCAGAATTTGTTAAGCCTTTTCTTTACATGAGATTTGTTTCTGGCAATAACAGCAATATATAAAAACCTCAGGCTTGTTTTCTAAACTCATACTGTTTTAAAGTCAGGGGTTGTCAGCCACTGATACCTGGACACGATGCCTCTATGTAATTTGGAATTGTGATGAGTTGGGAATGCATCCCATATCTTTCATCAGTCAAGGAAATCTGGAAAAAGCAAATACAAATATAACTGTGTGTAAGTTTGCCAAGGCAACCTGAACCACCATGTTTTCCTCTTTCCACGATCTGGTCTCTCCCTGTGGAGATGTGTGTGATGTGCTTGCAATGCTAGATAGAAATCTGATAGAAACTGTGCCATCCTGACTCATGGCAGAGTGTCTGATCTGTATCTGGTGCTCAGTTACAGGAAGCCTCTGTTTTCAGACGCAGCTGGAAGAAGGGTGTGGCAGTTTCCCCTTTTGGACTGCAGCTATCAAAAGCCACAACTGGGTTAAATCTCATAACAGAATTATGGGAGGTGTTTAACTATTAACTGGACAAAATACAATGTTATATTTGACTCCAGGATATACTGATGTCCTTATTTTACTCTTTCTGATGTTTAGGAGACAAGTTAATTCATTCACTGAGACAATAATTTCTAGGTAAAAGCTACACTTTGAAAAACTACGTACACCCTTTCTGCTTCCATAAGAATTAGGACGGTAAGTACCAGCCAGGTGCTGCTAATCAAATTCACTTGGTTTGTTGTTCATCAGAAAGCATGACCACCTCTATAATGGCAGAGGTTTTAGTAGTTTGTTGGTGTAGATCAAGTGTGTGTTAACACAGAGCTACAATCTTTCCTGCAGTAGATTCACTCCAATGTCATCTCACCCTGGGTAAACACACCTGAATCAAATGTTTAGTTCATTACCAGGCCTCTGGAGAACTTCATGGCATGTTGAGGAGGTAATTTAACCATTTGAATCAGCTGTGTTGGATCAAGGAAACATCTAAAACCTGTAGGACGCCGGCCCTCGAGGCCTGGAGTTCGACACCTGTGGTTTAGTTAATTGAACCTTTCTTTCTATTGGAGGCTACTGGTCAAATGTCCAAGAACCTGTTTCACACCCCCAAACATTTAGCTTTAGGATATGAATTTAAGCAGCACAGCATGTTCTGTAAGAAAAAATTTTTTTTTAAAGGTACCGTTTGACATCGAAACAGAAATCAGAGAGCAAAATGCAGCCACAAGGGAAACGTAAATCATGAAGTTATGCCAATTCAGTCTGCTGTCTGTGGGCTGCCAAAATGAGAGCTGAAGGCAACAAAGCGTATTAAAATGCAAGTTGTTACAAAATACTTCATCAGTGAGTAACCCCTGGGATGAATACAAAGTCTCAAGTTGATTATGTTTAACAGTGTAAGAGTAGCGCAGAGGGTGGATAGCATTTTAATGTTCACATTACTGCTTCTGAGACAGCACATCTATTCATTTATGGACACATTAAACTCAATCACATCTTTGTCACAGTGTCACAGCAGTTCAGTCAAAGCACCTTGCTCTGCTAACGCTCTCAAATTAGAATTAAATTAATCTGTTTTTGCTGAGCAATGAGGTTCCCGCGACAGCAAATTACCCATTTACACTCATCTGAGCACTTATCAGATCTGTGTGAAACCCACACTGAACCAGGAAGAGCCTGGACTGTGCACAGACTGCACAATGATCTCTAGTTTGAAGAATCACTTCTCCTCTGGAGAAACATGGTGCTCATTACATAGGGCCTGCTCGCTGCTGATAGCGAAAGCCAATACATCACATTGCCATTTTATTCTGACTGTGAGAGCTCCACGGAGCGGGGCGACACAGTGGATGGCAATGCTGCACAATGGCTACAAAATAAATGTTTACTCAAGCTGTCATATTTTGAAATCCCATCATCTGCTGAGGTCAGCAGCTCTGAATTATTTCGGTGACCTGCACTGAGGAGTTCAATGCCCTCATTTGTATTCAAAAGCAGAACTGAGAAAAATCCATTCTGAGTCGGCAAAAACAGCTTAAAGCACATGATTGCCATGCATTTGTTTATTGGGGTGCAATAAAAAACAGGCATAAAGCAACATACAGGGGCTCAAACAGATTAATGCAACTGTTTCTTTTAGCTTAAGGATGTTCTTTTATTAAGCAGTAAATCTGGAGCATTTCAGACTGAAAAATTCAGCCCTTCTAATCATGTTTCTGCTGTTAAGAAATGAAAGCCATTTACTTTCCTCTGTGAATCACTTAGGGGCATGAGACTGGTGAGAGAAGTGGCTCAAATATAGACGTATGAAAGCACAGCAGCACCCATGTTCTGTTAACCTCCACTGCTGCAGAAGAAGAAAGGGACAGAAAAGGGAGCAACCCAGAAAGTGGGCTGTGAATCAGCCCACTGCTGCGAGATCATTAGCGAACAAGTGCCATGCCAGTATCAGCTCACTGAATGAACAGTGACAGTGGAGCAGACAAGTCACTCTCTAGTTACTCTCCCCAAGAGAGCCCTTCACTTCCATTCACACAACCTGAACAAAGGCGGCTAAATTAGTCCCTGGACAACTGTCTTGGGGCTTTTTTTGGGGGGGGAGCCCGCTCAGGCGGACTGAGTGCAGAATGACTTCCTTGTGAGCTCTACCACCGGCCTAGATTAGACATTTCCGCCTGCCTTTTTAATCACTTGTTAATTAGCAGCACGGCGACTGGATGAAGTCATTAAGGGGTTCACTGGCAGAAGAAATTAATCAACACCTCAGAGCTTGTTTAATATGCTGAAATCAATACAGCCATTGTTTCTCTTCGGGGTCTTTTATTGAATTTCCTTCTTTCAAGGCCCAGGTGAGCTGATTCAATACTTGCAATTTCACTTGTACTTTTTAATGTGATCAGTTTCAAAAGCTTGTTTCTCTGTTGGTCTCTTTGCTCCAGACTGAGATATCACAACTCCATGCCATCACTTTTGATGTTTTTCTCCCTTTCTGGTCAGTTTTCACATTATATTGATTTCTTTGTGGCAGTTGGCATTTGTTCTCTTATGACCAGTCACACACATAGACAGGTCTGCTGGCAGCATGACGGCATATTCAAGGAAGAAAGCTTATTAAAAACATTGCTTTTGTCAGTAATGCTGTAAAAAAACCTGTGAATATAAAGTGTAATTGAAGTCCATCCATCCACTTTCTCCTGTTTATTCAGGTCCTGGTTGCAGTTTAAACAGAGACAATACCTGCTGCTCATCTGTGTGGTGTTCCCAAACCAGCTGAGGGACATAATCTCTCCAGTGTGTCCTGGGTCTATCCTGGGGCTTTCTCCTGGTAGGAGACGTAGCAGACCTTTCAGTATTCTGCATATCACAGAAATGGCAGGATGTGAGTTGATATCTACTAAAGAACAAATATAAAAACTCTTTATATATGCAAGCAGGGTGAGCCTCTTTGCAAATTTTAGGCCATTACGTAAACAGCTTATATGCTATACTTCAGGATTGTTTATTAAGGTTTGGAGAAAACAAAATAGTTTTAAAATTGTTTAAAACAATCATGGAATAATATTGTTTCTAGGAATCTATATTTGTTTTTGAGCGATTGCCCATCATGATGTGGATAAATAAAGTATTTCTGTTTGGACTGAACCTCCGCTGTGGCTGTGGTCCCTCCTTGGCAGGGGGGAAAAGCAGGGGAGTCACTTTATATGTTATATCCAGGTTTCCTCTAGGCTGGGGCGTAACATTGGCACAACATTTAGTAGAGATGTTTAACCCTCTTTTCATTCCCAGGACATCAAGTGCTATTGTTTTGTCAGAGCGACTGGCATCTCTTGGAAATGCACAAGCTGTCCTTTGACGTCGTTGCCTGGACACACCAGTTGCTGCAGAGCATGAACTGTCCTGCATGCTCCAAAGACAAAGTAAGCATAAAAGAAGGCAGGAAGGAAGGTGTAAGACTGTCAGCTAGGAGAATATAACTCTTCTCCTGTTTGTGTTTTCTTCTCAGCTACATTTGTTTTCAATTGATGATGATGATGATGATTATTATTTTTAAATTCATTGTTTGGTTAGCTTTAAGCACCAAAACCTTGGTTACCTTGGTGACCAGTCCAGGTTGTATCCCTCCTATGACTCCATGACAGCTGGGATAAGCTCCAGCTGAACTCGATAAGGAGTTAGGAAAATAAATTATGGTTGAAAATAAAATGAGATCTTGGAATATTTCAGTATACGGTAAGACACCTAAATCATGAGTATATGCCATGACATTGAAATATACTTACTATAAAAATATTTTTAAGTTGTAATACATTTTTACTACCTCATGTTTAGTTGCTATTTTGTATTGAAAGTTAATTAAAAATCGTTTTTTTAAATTAAAAAAAAAATCACAACAAATCTAGTTTTTATGATGAGTCTTAATAGAACCATCATTTTTGACTGGAAACACAAAATGAACACAACATGAGGGTTAACCTCTGACATTCAGAGTCCAGTCTGAAACTCTTCTTGAGAGTGATTGTAGTCACTCTGAGTAGGATTGTGACTGTTGCCTCGCATCAGGAGACACGTACAATCACACTGATCAAAAGTGGACGCCAAGATGTTGAAGGTGTCAGTCCCTCCTATTTTTACTCTAGGCTGACTGAACCATCAGGAGTCAACTGTTTACTTTCTTGATTTCCACTACCCAAAATTAGCATATATTACAGTGAATAGGAAATGAATAGGGAAAAATGTTGAAGAGATGTGGGCACAAATATTAGGTCTTTGGCAACTTCTAAAGAAGACAAATGCTTGATGTAAGTGTTTCTAAACCTGACTGATGTGCCATAACTAGCTGTTTTCATTTCTGTATGACTTCAAATCGATTTTCCCTCATCTAAGTCACATTTTTGCAGCGAGAAGAGTTTGTAGGTCTTCGTCCGATTAATTAACTTGGTGTGGTAACGCAGGTCAAGCTTTTTTACAGCAGAACATGTAATCACATTTTTTGGGCAGACAAATATGATAAATTTGGGGATCAGAGGTAGAGCTGCTCATCTAGCTACTGAAGCCTCAGCAGTTCCTCTGGGAAAATACCGAACCCCAAGTTACCCCATCGGAGTGTGAGTGTGTATGTGAATGTTAGCCAAGCCATTGAGGTTTAGAAAAAAGGGCTTGTGTGAATGTGTGCGTGTGACTGAATGAATGAGGCTTGTGGTAAAAAGTGCTCAGTTAGAGTATAAAAGCCTTATATAAGTACCAGCCTAATCACTGTTTCCAAATGTTGTGCATTAAAACGAGCTGTTAGAGGGTAATCTAAGGCATCCATATATGAAGACCTGCAGGCTGACACTATAGAGCTTTCAGTGCTTGTTAATGGGGTTTTTTGTCTTAAGCTACTGACTGAGAAAAAAGACTGAGAACACGCTCTCTCTGTTGCAAGAGGACGGAGGGTCACATGCATTCACATACCAACTCTCGAGGGCTTTTGATTGTAACTGTTTTAGGAGGGGGGAGAGCATCCTGATCATGTGTGGCTCTGAAGGAAGAGGAAGCGTTACCGGCCTCACTTCCACCACCCAGATATTCTGGTGATTTGAACTGGCCTGCTTCCAGTCACAAGGCCACTTATCTTGCATTTCCTCAACGTAAACAGTTTGCAGAGCATGAAAGAGCCTTTCATGCTGTAAGCAGCAGCGTTTCCGTAATTATTCTCCAATCTCAGTTTACCCAGTATCTCTGGCAGTGCAGAGTAAGGGTTTGCAGGGATGAAGAGGTCAAACTCTGATGAAGAGTTTTAGCTGAAGACCCTGAGAGAGTAACTCACAGCAGCAGAGGTGCTTGAAAAGCATGAGAATCAGATGTTTAAATTGTTTTATGTCAAGCACTGAGCAGGTGGCTGTGAATTCTCATCTCTCTTGCTGAATCAAGCTCATTATATTCCTGGTTTAACGTTTCTTCTTTCCTCCCTCAGGCTGGTTTGTCAGAAAATACTGCAAAGAAGTAAGAGGAAGTGAAAGACACGAGCAATTCCTGTCTTCACAGTATTTGTTCTAAGTAGTATTTCAAGACACAGAACTTTCATGTTAAAGCTCTGGCTCATGGAATAACAACAGAAAGCATGAAATGAAACAGGTTTTCACATTCATTAAGAAAACCAGATTAGAACAAATAACAAGGAAGAAATCCTTTGTTTTGGGAGACTTTGTTCTTGCAGAAGTTTTGACTCTTTCTGGTAGATGAATAGGAGGAGTCGAAGCATGCTCGCTGACCACCCTCTTGGTTTTTCCCAGATGGGAGAATGGGTAGACAGAAGGATAAGAACAAATTTGCTATGATGACTGGGAGAGAAGGCACAGAGGACATGAAGAGCCCTTACTGAGGACTAAACACAGAAATCAGAGGGAGGTGGTGAAGGAAGATTGGGTGTAAGACAGGAATAACATACGAACAAACAATGGTGGGGAAAGGTGTAACACAGTGGTCATGAAATTCCATTTAGAAGAATGCAAACCAAAGATAAAATTTATAGATAAGGATTTTTTTTTTAACAAAAAGAGAGAAATAAGATTGCAAGAAGAAGGAAAAGGATGAAAGTCCGGACATGAAAGGGTACAGACTGAAAAGAGGCTGCGACAGTTTTGTGGCTGATAGAAGTCACAGCATGCATGAAGAGAAACCAGGTCAGCTCTTTAAATACACTGGACCAAAATAAGGCCCCGATGACAACCAGCTGGCTAGAATTTCTCTGGTCCAGCCACGAATTAAATGATCCAACAAGGCCGACTAAGGAGAGACATCACAGCAGAAAAGTGACAGGTTTGCCACCGGTAACACATTCTCCTCACGGATGATGACAGGTCCACACTGAGCACATGTTACAGACTGAAAGAGACACCAAGGCAGATGTTATGATGCTTGCAACATCATCCAGCATGACCAGTATGGCAAATCCTCAGACCCACTGTCACACAGTCTGGTCAGAAGTATGCAAACTAGCAGCCCACTGGACAGATTGATATCTCTGAAGTTTAACTGACTCTGGGTTTCACTGTGATGATGGTCCCTTAATCTGAGCATACTGCAGATGTATAAGCGCCACTTGTCTTTGAATTCAGTTCACTTTGTCAAACTATTAAATATATCAACTTTTGTTGCAATTCCCATTTTTATTAGATGCAGAAGGAACACAGATGGCCTTGTTTATAACGTTTTCTCTTCAAAGCTTTAGATTTTTGTAGAAATCATCAATGTTCCCAAACACAAGTGCAAAACTGTCAGTGTCCTTGCAACAGTTGGTCACAGTGAAATTAGCCGAGTTGAGAAAATTCCCTCTCCCCTCCTTTTGCAACAGCTGTGAAACCTGACGGCCTGTTTTATGAGGAAGAGCTGCTTCAGTTCAGAAGTTCGCTGTGAGAAATTCCTCCCACAGTGTTTGTTTTAAATTAATATGCTTCTGTTTTATTCTGTTTTCTTAATACTGTTAGGTGATCTGCAGGCAGTGATGTCCAAACATTTCACGAGGCTGTGGAGCAGCTTTTTAAAAGTTACACAATACCTTCATTTATTATTGCTGTAACAGTATAATCTGGGAGAAAGACAGATTGCTGACAAGGCAGGATGAAACTGCTGATTACTGTAGTCTCATATGGGAGTTGATTCATTTTAGTTTTTCTATTTTGTTATTGGATCAGGGCTGCAATTGATTCTACTGTGTGGCATTTATTTTCTCAAAATGTGTATCATAAATTAAAAAAGGTATAATATTATTGTTTAATCTGACCAAGAGTCCAGACTAAAACAATACTCAGTTCACTAGCTTAAAACACAAAGAAAAGAAAAATAACTCAGAAATTGATGCGATTATTTCTGTAAACACACTCATTTTCACTTCTTTCAGATCCAGTTTTTCACCACCAAGTTTATTTTAATTTGGTAAAACTAAACTATGACCAGAGAGAAAACCTGTTCTAGTTACCTGAAATAATAATGAGTAAAACTAGATTTAAACAACAACTATGTGAAATAAACTAACTATGGTTTGTTCTCCATGACCACAAGTCTGTTGCCATGATTACCTCCATATTATCATAAAACAAATATTAAGATGAACACTGAAACTAATAAAAACTAAACATAACTAAACTGAAAGGAGCAAACCTACTGTTATCAATGTAAACTAGTTAAATATGTTTTAAATAGATTTCACTGCTGTAACACATGCATGTACAGGATGTTTAATATAAGGTATGGCCTCCGGACAGACCGTGACTCAGTGCAAGCAGTCACAGACTGCTCGTGGACTGCACAAGTGTCCAGATCTGGTTTTCAGGAATTGCTCTCCATTCCTGGAGAAGTGCAGCCTGCACACATTCAGACATGTTCAGCTGGAGACATAGTGGGATTAAAAGCTGGCCAAGGAAATATCTGGATATCCTCTGTATAGAGGTGGGAATTTTCCTGTTGAATCAGGTTGGACCACACACCCTCATTACCTCTGTCAGATCAGATAGGGGGCTCTCATACAAATCTGCAACACTCTAGCATGTCTAAAGGCCGGTCTCGGTCAGCTTTAATCAGTTGTGGCACAATGATATTGTTGTCCATACAAAGGTTTTTTGTGCTTTGAGATCACGTGCTTGAGAACTCAGTAAACAGAATCAATTCTGAGTTAATTTGTGTTTGTGGTGAACAAATGATCAATCCTGGCACTGACTACATAACACAACATAACACATAATATTTTGAATATGTAATTTACAGACAGCCTCAGCCTTTAAAGCAAAGCGTGAATGCCAGTTTGAAATAATCATCAGTCAGCAGTTTGTTCTTTATAGTTGCAGCACCTGGCTGACTTGCTAATGCAGCTCATGAAATGCTGCTCTGTTGTG